TTTTAGAGAAGAAAACTTTGTGGTCGCTACCCGGAATCGAACCCGGGACCTTTGAATGAGAGGCCAAGACCTTAACCTCTAGGCCACGAGAGCCCCCTTCCAAGAACTTAACGAAAGTTGTTTGGATCACTATCCCGATCTTGCAGCTACAGACTTCTGTTTGTTTTGACCAATGCAGCAATATCTAACCAGGAAGTAAATCATGGAAGACACGCACTTTGTGGAGCATGTCAGAGATTGGGCATAAAGGTTTACTGGAGGAATAGCATGCATTTACTTGAGTAGTGGTGAACAAAACAAAACAAAAAACCCACATTGAAATGTAATGTTTATAGGGACTTTGTTGAGAAGAAAAAGGAAATGCTTAGCCACCTGTGTAAGTCGTATCACAGTCCGTAACAGGATGTTACATGTTATAGCCGTTTCTGTTTAAATCCAGGACAACCCTGGTATATTTTTCCCTCGAGACATTCTACACAATTTGTAAGTTCGACTTCGTACAGCAGACGCCTTGAAAAGGAGGACAAGTGTCTTTTTTATTATTTGTTTTGTTTTGTTTGTTTGGGGTTTTTTTCTTGTTGTACAATGGCGAAGTGCTTACCAACCCCACCGCCTACTCCGTTATACATTTGTGTCACGACACGGTGGAATCAGGCGCTCGTCTGTTTTGAGGCAAGTGGAGGTAATGGTGTCATCTTAAGGCTTGTTCATTTGTTTCGTTTTCGGTGAAAAAAAATACTTATCTATCTTGAAAACGATCACAGATATTTGTTTTTTTTAAGAAGGTGGTGTTGCCTGGTTTCAGAGGTAAAATTAGCGAGCTAATAAATAGCCGCCAAAGTTAGGTGACTTCCACAGCTTTATAGTTTTTGAAACCTTTCAAAATTACATTTTACGAGCTCCTGAGTTAACCACAATGCCTCCGATTGATTATCTTCTTGTTCTTGTTCTTCTTGCTCTTGTTCTTGTTCTTGTTCTTCTTCTTCTTGTTCTTCTTCTTCACACGTTGATAATATAAACACGACCCTTTTACGTATTATTATGTGCACATGAGTATATTAGAATGATTTAGATTTTAAGAATGCTAGAGTCCGAGATATGGAACTTTCGGCTGTGAGCAGTGGATATGGCTGTTTCAGACAAAGTGTGTGTTTGGCATCGAGGTGAAACCAGGCGCTTGTCAAAATTGACTTACTGAGTTTTGGATAACCGCTCTATTGTTTCCAGATCACATGATCAAGATCTATTTTACTACAGGTTGTCTCACGGATGAATTGATCTTCATAGTACTTCGGCTATCAAAACATCTATCTCTAACTATACAGAACGCCTGCTATAACTAGTCACTACCTTAGAATTACAAAGATCTATCTGACAGTTTTAGGTCGTTTTGAGTTACAAAGACCAGGAGGTCAGAAACCAAATGTTCTATGTGCTCTATCAAAACCGTAGGATTATTCGAAGTTTTTATCAAGATATTCAAAGAATCGTGTTCAAAAACGTTTGACAGGTTGTGGAATTCAGCTCAAACTTCTCAAACTTGGAACTGAACAGATAAAACTTTGTAATCCTAAGGTAGCGCAATGTTTCCACACCCAATGTAAATACAACAATGTGTCACAGCATGGTGAAATTAGGCGTTCGTCAATTTTGGGGCTTCATGATAATATGTAGACATAGGTTGAAACTTCTGAAATTCTATACACGGTTAACCCTACCTCACGGCTGTGAATGCTGAACAATCACTAAGGACAGTGAAAATGAAATAGAAGCAACAGAAATGTGGATTCTTAGGAAACTGCTGATAATATTTTGGAAGGGAAATGAATCAAACGAGGTAGTACTTAATTAAGCTCCCGAAAGCCACTAGTTGATATAAAGAACCAGGAAAAGACGAAAACTTGAACCGACATAAAGGCCTGGAACATATTATAGCTCTCACAGGCAAAATTAAAGGCAATCGAGGCAGGGGTAGACCCAGAGCAATCAGCTTCGAGAGCCTAAACAGATGGACGACGGGGAAAGATCAGGATAATGTAACTTTTGAAAGAGCACCCAAGCAATAGGAACGAATGGAGAACCAAAATGATGATGATGATAATAGAGTTATTGGTATCATCTTAAAGCATGCTAAATTTGTCTTGCCGTTAATAAAACAAATAATCATCTGTGATCAATAGAAGTCGAAATACATGTATTTGCAGTCGCAGAAGGTGGGGGTCACCTTGTGTCAGAGGTAAACTTAGCGAAACAATAGCCGCAAAAGTTTGCTGACTACCAATGAACAGGAGTCCTTAGAAACTGCAAATTTACATTCATTACGTACCTTTGATCAACCTTTCTCAATAAAATCACCGTAGGAATTTGGTTTTAAATTTTTAAAGGTACTGAGGTCAAAACCAAACAAATAAAGCAACAGCATCAATACGTTGTTTAACTCTTTGAAGACGCAAACTCTGGTTATTCGAACCTTTGAAGAAGCTCAACTTCGTTATTCATTTAGATTTTAAACAACACATTATTTTCTTTTTTTTCTGAGCCCTAAAAAGTAAAAAAAAAGAATTCAGGATGCATATTGTGAAATGTTACATCTCGTGTTTCTGGTTTGTGCATGAAGGTTCAAAATGAGCCACAACATTGGCTTTGATCCGTTTCTGTGTTTCTGGTCGGACAAATGTGTCCGATACGTCCCTAAAGAGTTAAATAAAAATTGCCCAACGGACGGAAATATGGTTTTGTGGTAGGTCTTTACTCACCGGAGTTTTAGGTGGTGTTTTTCGTGTGAGCACTTCGAAGGTCCGTGCAAAGTCAAGATCATGTCAGCTGCAGTGTTGTGAGTTAATTGAGTGTTCGGAGAGTCACTACAGTTTCTTCGATTTCGTTATTCTCACAAGCGTCTCATTTTACCACGGTGCCACACCAATACTTTTGTTTTGTTTTTGTTTTTGCAAGTGTTTTTACGGCGCTCGCAACTGCATAAGGCCATATGAGCGCCTGGGACACATTAAGCTTTTTCAGTTGGTAGGAAATTTTAAATTTTGCCCGGGTGGCGGCCGAAGTCTACTCTTATCGATTTTAGACCATCAAGGGATCTTTAACGTGCACAATTTGCACACGGGTCCTCCGAGATTTTTCGCCCTTGTCCGAGAAGGCTAGGTGTACATCTTTCCTACCTGAAGATCAGGGGTGTGGCTGAAAGACAGCAGTAAGAAGAAGCCAAAAAGTAGCAGTAGAAAGGCTGTAGAAAGAATCAGGAGCCCAGAGGAGAGGGACAAAGGAGATGAGGGAGTGGGGGCAGAAAGAGGAGACGAAACCAGACAACAGAACATTGCTAGAGAGCAGGAAATGAGGTGAAATGAGACAATTTTAGAGAACACATTTTTTCGGTCGCTACCCGGATTCGAACCCAGGACCTTTGAATGAGAGAAAACACATCAACCTTTAGGCCACGAGAGCCCCCCACCAATACTTTAAGAAATAAAATACAAAGGAGCCAACTCGATCCGTGAAGGGAAGATCGACATAACGCGAGTGGGAATAAATGTTTGTTTTCGTCTGTGCGTCCGTATGTGTCTGAATGTCTGTAGAAGTATGCGTTTATGTGTTTGTATGTGTGTGTGTGTGTGTGTGTGTGTGTGTGTATGTGTGTGTGTGTGTGTGTGTGTGAGTGTGTTTATTTGAGTGACATATAGTTGTATTTGTGTATCATTGAAATTGTACGTATGTTTGGTGTCTATCTATCTTTTTATCTATCTGTCTATCTATCTATCTATCTTCCTACCTATCTGTCTATCTATCTATCTATCTATGCTTTCATACCTAAGTATCTACTTAATCACTTACTTACTTACTTACTTACTTACTTACTTACTTGCTTGCTTGCTTAATTACTTACGAGTACTTGCTTTCTTGCTTGCTTACTTATTTACTTACTTACTAACGTACATAGTCTCTTACCTTTTACTTCAGCGAAGAAAAAGAATTGGCGCTCACAAGAACATCTGTGTTCTAAAAAGTGGTCAAAATCTGTAGCAACCATTTCCTCCTCTCTTACCCGTCTTCCGTACAGAATGAAGTGTTGCGCATACACACCGCGTTGTATCGTATGTATAGAGAACCTGATTGAAAACTTGTATTCCAGGAAGTAGCTGATGCTTGGGCGGTGTACAATAGCTTTCTATTCATGGGCGTTTGCTCGTTTGTATTTAGATCTTCCTTATGGACAGTTTTGAAGTGTACGGTATCGCTCGTACAGTGGTAGTTTTGTTCCTGTTCTATGCACACCGATTTCCTTGCAAAACGGATGTTGTTGTTGGTATTGTTATTGCTTTTATTGTCGTTCTTCTTCATATAATAATTGTTCTTGTTGTTGTTGTTGTTGTTTTTATTGTGTGTGTATGTGTGTGTGTGTGTGTGTGTGAGAGAGAGAGAGAGAGAGAGTGAGAGAGAGAGAGAGAGAAAGAGA